ATCTCTACGATGAGAATTACAAAACCTTAAAGAAAGAAATAGAAGAGGATACCAAGAAATGGAAAAATCTTCCATGCTCATGGATTGGAAGAATCCATATCATCAAAATGTCCATTCTCCCAAAAGCAATTTATAAATTGAATGCAAACCAATCAAGATACCAAAGACCTTCTTCTCCGATCTGGAAAAAATGGTGCTTAAATTTATATGGAGGCACAAGAGACCTCGAATAGCTAAAGCAATCTTGTACAACAAAAACAAAGCCGGAGGCATCACAATACCAGATTACAGGACATACTACAGGGCAGTGGTAATCAAAACAGCATGGTACCGGTACAGAGACAGATGGATAGACCAATGGAACAGAATTGAAACACCAGAAATCAACCCAAACATCTACAGCCAACTTATATTTGATGAAGAATCTAAAACTAATTCCTGGAGCAAGGACAGTCTATTCAATAAATGGTGCTGGGAAAATTGGATTTCCACGTGCAGAAGCATGAAGCAAGACCCCTACCTTACACCTTACACAAAAATCCACTCAACATGGATTAAAGACCTAAATCTATGACCTGACCCCATCAAGTTACTGGAGAACATTGGAGAAACCCTTCAAGATATTGGCACAGGCAAAGAATTTCTGGAAAAGACCCAGGAGGCACAGGCAGTCAAAGCCAAAATCAACTATTGGGATTGCATCAAATTGAGAAGTTTCTGTACTGCAAAAGAAACAGTCAGGAGAGTGAAGAGACAACTGACAGAATGGGAAAAAATATTTGCAAACTATGCAACAGATAAAGGGTTAATAACCAGAATCTACAAAGAGATCAAGAAACTCCACAAAAACAAAACCAACAACCCACTTAAGAGATGGGCCAAGGACCTCAATAGACATTTTTCAAAAGAGGAAATCCAAATGGCCAACAGGCACATGAAAAAATGTTCAAGGTCACTAGCAATCAGGGAAATGCAAATCAAAACCACAATGAGGTTTCACCTCACCCCGGTGAGAATGGCTCACATGCAGAAATCTACCAACAGATGCTGCCGAAGATGTGGGGAAAAAGGGACACTAACCCACTGTTGGTGGGAATGCAAACTGGTCAAGCCACTATGGAAGTCAGTCTGGAGATTCCTCAGAAACCTGAAGATAACCCTACCGTTCGACCCAGCCATCCCACTCCTTGGAATTTACCCAAAGGAGTTTAAATTGGCAAACAAAAAAGCAGTCTGCACCCTAATGTTTATCGCAGCACAATTCACAATAGCCAAGACCTGGAACCAACCTAAATGCCCATCAACGGTAGACTGGATAAAGAAATTATGGGATATGTACTCTTTAGAATACTATACCGCAGTAAGAAACAACGAAATCCAGTCATTTGCAACAAAATGGAGGAATCTGGAACACATCATGCTGAGTGAAATAAGCCAGTCCCAAAGGGACAAATACCATATGTTCTCCCTGATCGGTGACAACTGACTGAACACCAAAAAGGAAACCTGTTGAAGTGAAATGGACACTATGAGAAACGGTGACTTGATCAGCATAGCCCTGACTGTTAATGAACAACTTAATACATTATCCCTCTTAGTAGTTTTTTTGTCTGTTCTACTTAATATGACTGGTTTAATTCTGTAATTATCTCACAGTTATTCTTATGTGTTGAAAATTAACTGAAATGTGATCCCTGTTAAACATAAGAGTGGGAATAAGAGAGGGAAGAGATGTATAATTTGGGACATGCTCAAGCTGACTTGCCCCAAATGGTAGAGTTTGAAACATACCAGGGGACTCCAATTCAATCCCATCAAGGTGGCATGTACCAATGCCATCTCACCAATCCAAGTGATCAATTTCAGTTCACAATTGATCATAATGAAAGGACTAAGAGTCAAAGGAAGCACATAAAGAAATCTAGTACCTGCTAACACTAACCGATACAATAAAGGGGAGAGTGATCCAACATGGGAAGTGAGATACTCAGCAGACTCATAGAACGGCAGATGTCCTCAACAGCACTCTGGCCTCAGAATCAGCCCTAAAGGCATTCGGATCTGGCTGAAAAGCCCATGAGAGTATTTCAGGCATGGAAAGCCAAGACACTCTGGCAAAAGATCTCTGTGAGTGAGATCCCAGCAGAAAGAACAGGTCATCAAAGAAGGAGGTACCTTTCTCTGAAGGGAGGAGAGAACATCCACTTTGACTATGACCTTGTCTAAATTTGATCAGAGTCGGTGAACTTGAAAGGCTTCCATAGCCTTGGCACCTCATGACAAGAGCCTAGGGTGATTACTGATGCCATAAACAAGAGTGTCAATTTGTTAAGTCAACAACAGGAGTCACTGTGCACTTACTCCTCATGTAGGATCTCTGTCCTTAATATGCTGTACACTGTGATTTTTTTTTTAACAGGCAGAGTGGACAGTGAGAGAGAGAAACAGAGAGAAAGGTCTTCCTTTGCCGTTGGTTCACCTTCCAATGGCCTGTACATTGTGATTTAATGCTATAACTAGTACTCAAACAGTATATTTCACTTTGTGTTTCTATGTGGGTGCAAACTGTTGAAAGCTTTACTTAATGTATGCTAAACTGATCTTCTGTATGTAAAGATAATTGAAAATGAATCTTGATGTGAATGGAAGAGGAGAGGGAGCAGGAAAGGGGAGGGTTGTGGGTGGGAGGGAATGCGGGAGAAAAGCCATTGTAATCCATAAGCTGTACTTTGGAAATTTATATTCATTAAATAAAAGTTTAAAAAAAAAGAAAAAGAAAGGCAGAGTTACAGAGAGAGAGAGAGAGAGAGAGAGAGAGCAATCTTCTATCACTGTTCATTCTCTAAATGCCTGGAACACTGGGGGTTGGGCCAGACCAAAGCCAGGGGCCTAGAACTCCATCCAACCTGGTCTCCCACATGAGTGGTAGGAAGCCAAGGGATTAGGCCATCTTCTGTTGCTTTTCTAGGTGCAGTAGCGTGTGGCAGGTTTGCAAGTGGAGCAGATGGGACTTGAACTAGCACTTGTGTGGGATACTGGCATTTCAAGCAGCAAATTACTCTGCTGTACCACAATTCCAGCCCCACAGCTCTCTTCTTTTGCTTCAAAATCCAGGTGCTTTATTTCAGTATATAAGGATATAAACTCTAAGACTACAAGCACATCTCTCCTTATAATAAGGTAAAAGTTCATAAAAACTCTAGAAGGCCAAAATTTTAGAGAGGATCTCATAGCAGGAAAGATGCAGGAATGGGAGCCAGCCATATGACCCCAGGCACCAAGGCTTTTAATCTATGTTAACTTATGAATGAAATAGAATAGAACATGCATTGTAGAATTTTGATGAAGACAAAGTTTAGAGACAATGATGTAAAATGCATAAAATACTATCTGGCATACACTGGACACCCAACAAATATTATCACACTCGCGGTAGAGGTAACTTTTGCAAAAATGCTTGCAGTCATGGATCTGGACACAGCTACTCATCAGACTCATCTCTAAGGCAGCCTTGCACACACTAGCTAACAGGAATATCAACTGTAACAAAACACATTTATTTATTCTTTCTTTGTCTTTTGACACATAATGTGATCAGAACACCTGAAACCCAAGAGAACCCTTAAATAAAAACAAGGACTTCAATTTTAAATGTACAAAAATTTCACAGAATTACATATTATTTAGCTTTTAATAAGATATGACTTCTTTGTGCTCTCTCTGCGAACTCTAATATGTTCTTTCAGTTATAGAAATATCAACCAAATCAGACGAGCTAGTAAGATACTTCAAGAAAATATGCGGTAACTCAGAAAAAAAGAGAGAAGTTCCCTTCTCTCAATCATGATAGACTAGTATTTAGCACCCATATGAATACACCATGTGATTAATGTTTTGTCAGCTCTATAAAGTGTGACCCAAAAATGGGATTATAACTAAATGTCTTGGTAAAAGAGTTCAAATACGAAAATGCACAATCACGAAAGATTAGACTTTCCTTTTTTTATTCTCCCTATACGACCTTTACAGGTACTGACTCTGATGAAGGCTATGTGCTATGAATACGCCTTATTAACAGGCAGAACTTAGGGTTATTGATTTTAATCTGAACTGACTTCCTTCAGATCAATAAAATGGACATCATGAAATAATTCCCCAGACATGGTTTGTTTCTACACTGTATCTGAATTTATCAATTACCATTAGGCCAGACTACTATAATTTACTAAGAAACTGCTAACACAGCTTCATGACTTCCATACCTGTTTTAATACAATCAAATATCTCTCTAATTACACACTGGTCAGAGAACAACCATTCTCTCAATTCACAGTTTTCCATCTTAAAGAGATTTTAGGCATCATACTGGCTGAGTCACCCTACACACAAACGAAGGTGTGATTGAAAATAAAGCCAAACTAATTATCAGTTATGCAGACCATAGAAGGTGCCAAAAATGCAAACCTTGAATCTGCTGGAAAGCAAAAAGAAGCAGATAAAAAGGGAAGAAAATTAGGTCACACTCCCTCTGGAAAGTTATCTTTATTTTCACATTAATTTCCAAAACACTGAAAAGGCCAAAACAATTTTTTAATTATTTATATTTGGCTTCTCTTTATATGGGCAAATATGAAGCATTAATGGATCACTGTTTGGGAATAGAAGAAAATACACTGCAAAGCAAGAACCATTTTTTAAAATTATTTATACCTGGTTTCCCATTTATATGGGCAAATATGAAGCAATAATAGATCACTCTTGGGGAATGGAGGCTTACTATCAAAGACAACAACATTGCAGTTCTGTTCACTTACTTAAAATCACTATAATCATAAACACCCTGGAGAGCACCAGAAACAGCACCACTTTTCTTCAAAACAAGAATGTAAGACCCACTCAGATAATGCAATCTTACTCACATACTTAATTCTAGATTCTGCTTCTCTTTATAAGAAACGGATATTTTCTTTCAACATTTTCTAAATTAATATCAATATTACCTGTAATTCAGTCATATTCACGTTGACTTGTTTAAGAAGCATATCTTCTTTTCCTGAATAGATCCAAATAGATAAAACATTAGCTTAAATATCCACATTGAAGGAGGTCTAAGTATGAATGAATCTGGTGTGATTTCTTCTTTATTATTCAAACAAAAGAAAACAAGTGGTACAAATAAAATTATCCTCACCCTAAACATCCATGCTGTTTCCTTCTATTTCTATAAAAACAAGAGAAGTACCTACAGCCTACTGAAGAATAATTACTATGCTGATTTTTTAGAAATGTGTAAGGCTGTTGGAGTAACAGTTACAGGTCTATTATTTGAATATATGTATTTTACATTTGGTCAAAATAAAAGTGATAATCTTTGAAATAGGCTAACATGACTATCACATTTAGCTAAAAGATGTCTTGAAATTTATTAGGAAGCAACAAAAATAGGTTTTCTAGAGAATTATATAAAATTCAAATACAATGAAAAGTCTTTAACAAACCAATAGGTAATCACTTATGGAATCTGCAATTTTAAAATGTTTACCAGCACTGAGACTGACTTACCTCAATCAGAAAAACATGTTTATATTTCTGCCCATAAAAATAAGCCTCAAGCACCACAAGATAAAGGTCTCCTAAGCAGCAGGGCAAACTGGGTGAACTGTACAACACACAATTTAGAAATACAGGTGGCTGAGCAACATCGGAGCCTCAGAGACCCCCAGACTTTGTGCTGGGGGCTGCAGTGCTCATCCCAGTCTTCCCTGTTCCACCTGCTCAGGCACAGTGCACATGACAGCAGGAGTATCTGCACAGCGAGACAAATCAATAGGCATAAACATTCTCCTTTGCTTCGACTGAGTGAACCACAAAGATAAATCATACTTTTGGCCGGCGCCGCGGCTCACTAGGCTAATCCTCCGCCTAGCAGCGCCGGCACACCAGGTTCTAGTCCCGGTTGGGGCGCCGGATTCTGTCCCGGTTGCCCTTCTTCCAGGCCAGCTCTCTGCTGTGGCCAGGGAGTGCAGTGGAGGATGGCCCAGGTGCTTGGGCCCTGCACCGCATGGGAGACCAGGAAAAGCACCTGGCTCCTGGCTCCTGCCATCGGATCAGCGCGGTGCGCCGGCCGCAGCGCGCCGGCCGCGGCGGCCATTGGAGGGTGAACCAACGGCAAAGGAAGACCTTTCTCTCTGTCTCTCTCTCTCTCACTGTCCACTCTGCCTGTAAAAAAAAAATAAATCATACTTTTATACTTAGTTTTTGAAATGACTTCCTGGTGCTAAATGATCTCTCTGAAATCAGAAACAAAATGGAAACACTGGAGTGCTATTTCATTCTGTTAAGTTCTATATCTATTTTTGTTCTTTTTGTTCTAAAGGAGCCAGTCATCAAGTACAATAAAACACACTGTTGATATTCCTCAGTTATTTTCAGGTTTTTTTAAAAGATTTATTTATTTACTTTAAAGGCAGGGAGAAAAAGAGAGAGACAGAGAGAGAGAGAGAGAGAGAGACCGAAAGCAGAATCGATCTTCTATGTGCTGGTTCACTCCCCAAAATGACCACAACAGCTGGAGCTAGGTGAGGTTGAAGCCAGGAGCTTCTTCTGGGTCTCCCATGTAGGTACAGGGACCCAAGCATTAGGGCCATATCTGCTGATTTCCTAGGCACACTAGCAGGGAGCTGGATTGGAAGTGGAGCAGCTGGGACTCCATACTATCTCCATTGCCTTGTAGGGTCTGCAGTGGCAGGAAGCTGCAGTGAGGAGCCAGAGCCAGGCATTGAACCCAGACACTCTGATATGAGACTCAAGTGTCATAATTGGCATCTTAATCACCAAGACAAATGGAAGACATTACTAATGCTTATTAATCTAACAAATACGTGGCTTCAGATAATGAAACACTGACACTTAAGGTCTAATGAGTAAACTTAAGGAGTGGACCATAAGAGATCAAGAACCACAGGCACCTCTTCTGTGAGCACCATTTATGGGCTGACAGACTTTTTCTATAAAAGACTAACCAGTAAGCATTGTAGGTTTAGCAGGCCATGTTCTCTTTGAAAATACTCCACTCTGCCACTGTATAATGAAAACTGCTGTAGATCCTATGTAAAGAATAAACATCATTTTGTCCCATTAACTTTTTTTTTTTTACAAAAATAGGCATTAGTCCATAGTTTGCCAACCACTGTAGGGGTTTCATTATCTTCAGCCAAAATTACCTAGTTCAATAACTTTGATCAAGATCATTTATGTGTTGACTTACCATAAGATCTCCTAGGCAGCATTTTACATCCATATTCCACTATTCTTATATCAGTATTAGGTATGGGGGCTAATTAAATTTTGTGTCAACTTGGCTTGCCGGTGGTACCCAGATGTTGATTAAATATGAGCCTTGATGCTACCAGGAATGTATTTTGCATAAGTGATGAGATTCTAATCAGCTGACCTGAGGTAATAGAAATTACAATCTGCAATGCAGTAGGTCTCATTCTACCACTGGAAGCTCTAAGAGGAAAAACCAAGCAATCTCAAAGTAGAAGGGATTCTGCAACAAGATTGTACCATAGAAATCCTGCCTGAGTACCCAGCCAGCTCTATGCATCTCACTCATGTCATCACCCATAATTACATTTAACCGATGAGATCTATTTTCCTGGGAATTCTGATATAGTAAATTAAGATAACATGCCTTGGGGCTGGTGCTGTGGTGTAGCAGGTAAAGCTGCCATCTGCAGTGCCAAAATCCCATATGGGCTCCGGTTCAAGTCCCAGCTGCTCCACTTCTGATTGAGCTCTATGCCATGGCTTGGGAAAGCAGTAGAAGGGGGCCCAAGTCCTTGGGCCCCTGCACCCACATGGGACACCAGAAGAAGCTCCTGGCTCCTGTCTTTGGATCCGCCCAGTCCGGCCATTAGAGTAGATGGAAGATTCTCTCTCTCTCTCTCTCTCTCTCTCTCTCTTATCACTCTGTCTCTAACTCTGCCTTTCAAACAAATAAATACATTTTTTAAAATGCCCTTCTTTTAAATATTTATTTATTTCAAAGAGTTACAGAGAGAAGGAAACATACAGCAAAATCTTCCATCCACCGGTTCACTCCACAAATAGCCACAAAAAAGCTAGGGCTGGGCCAGGTCAAACCCAGAAGCTTCTATCCTACTCTCTCACATTGGTGGCAGAGGCCCAAAGACTTGGGCCATCTTCTGCTGTTTTCCCAGGTGCATTAGCAGGGACCTCGATTGGAAGTAGAGCATACAAGACTTAAACTTGTAACAGGATGGGATGCTGGCATTGAGGTAGTGGCTTAACCCATTAGGCTGTCACAATGCTGGCACCAGCATGCCCTCTTTTGAACATCACACATAACTATCAGGAAGTTGTGGTAGACTGTATTATTATTTGAAATTATTCACTCCCTATTTCCTGGAGAGGTGATTATGCACATCCGTTTGAAATTAGGGGACTTGATCAATTCACAAAGCCCGTTCAAGTCCTGGCTACTCTACTTCCTATGCAGCTCCTTTTAATGGCCTGGGAAAGCCAGAAGATAGCCTGAGTATTTGGGCCCTGCCACCCACGTGGAAGACCTGGATGAAGCTCTGGATTCTGGGCCCAGCCCCAGCCATTGAAACCATAAGGGGAGTGAACCAGCAGACAGAAGATTTCTCTCTCTGTCTCTTCCTCTCTCTATATAAATCCAACTTATAAGTAAATTAATTAATTTTAATTAATCAATATTTTAAAAATGAGGTAATTTGATGTGAAGACTAAAAATAATAGCCACACTTTGACTGTCATCAACAAGATCTGATAGAACATTGTTGGAAAGAAAGATTAGCTGAGAAAAATGTTCCTCTTTTCATGCAATGATAAAAAAGAAACGAGAGAAACCTGTCATGAGGTGCACAGCCAAGAACCAGGAAAAACAGGGAGATAATCAAGAAACATTCCTGGATGCCAAGAAAAGGGGCCCTCAGTACATCTACCCAATGTGATTATTCGTAATTGCTGGGACCATTGGTTGCCACATGATTGCCTTCCCTTAACAGAAGCATCTTCCTTAAAGACGCAATATCTTTTGTGTGCAGAAAGGAAGAAAGGTAATGAATGTGATCAAGAGGATGGAGTGTGGGAGAGCATATTCCCCACCCCAACCTTAGAAAAAAGTCTTTTGTGTCCCCTCTCCAGGGCCCCTAGGGCAGAATATTTGCCCCTAGGCATCCCTTGCCTGCTGCCTGGCCATGTGATAAGCTCTGGCAATCATGGTAAGAGTTCTCACAAGTCTCAGCTGGCACCAAGCTCCACTCACCACCATGTAAATGGCACGTGCAGAAAGAGGCTGCCCCTTCAGTCTGGATCTGAGGATGATGGCAGCCCAAAGTCTATGTGTACTTTAACACTAGCACAAGCCACCAAGATTTGGGGCTTATTAGTTCCAGCAGCAAAGTTGGCTAATACAGAAATCCAGTGAAACACAGGTAAAAACAGAGAAATTATATGGCATAAGGGCATTCCTCAGGTAGTTGAATACAGTGATATGGCTATGGCTGCAAAGCGAGCAAAGTAGTACAGGATCTGCCCCTAAAGCAGCTAAGGGTGTGGGCACACACAGACTAGAGAGGAGAACTCAGTTCCATTTACTTGTTGGAAGTGAGGCTGTGGCAAAACATAAATATAAGCTGGCAAATCTGATATCAATATTTAATGAGTATGCACTTCACACAGTCCAGCTATAATCCAGATAGATTTTTATGATGATCCCCACAGCACATATAAAAAAAAGAAACTTGGAGAAGTTTGGTTGCTTTCCAACATACACAGCTACCAAGTGACAGTTAAAATTCGAAACTAAAACTAATGATAAAGCTAAATTTCTTTCTATACCATGCTGTCAAAAAAAGTTACATATTACTTAGTAAATACTAAATAAAAAATGGTTTCTTTATTTACACAAGTAAAGAATTCTATAAGACAGATGATAGGGAAATCTAATATCATAACTCACTTCTAGTTCCAAATTCCAAATATATTACTCACAATTAATTT